CAAGTCTATTACTTTCCTGCTTTTTCTAGAATAAAAGCTCCGTGGGGGAGGGCCTCTGTTATTTTATGGCAAGTGTTCCCAACACCTAGCATAATCCCTCAGCTCAACACCTGCTGTATGTATGACTTGGCATCTGGTAAGGTCCCCACTAGAGGGATGGAACCAGGACACGCCTTTCTCAACCCACTCTTGCACAACACACTCGGCCGTATACTATCCTCTCAACTGCATGAACCACCACCTCCCTCCCGCCACACACAGACCCACAACAACCTGCTATGTTGGAACAACAACATTACGAACATAAACTTCTACATCCCTTCACTGCAGTCCTCATCAGACTGTGCAGAACCTGCACAGTCTGTGCTGACTACAACAGACTTCTCTGTTCAACTACCAGGCATGTTTTAGTCACCCCCCCCCCCCCCCGCTACACAGAGTAGAGTTGGTAGTCAAGCAACACCCTACTACCTGGGAACTTGTGAGAAATATAGATTGCACCCCAGGCTAGCATTCTGAATCAGAATCAACATTTTAACCACACTGGAGTTTAAAATGCTCTGCAAGGTTGCACCGTGACACCTGTAGCACTGCACTGGCCTCCTTAAGGATGGGTGGCAAGGAAACTGCAGCCTTCACCACTCTCAAGTGCAACCATGTCATGTCTTGCATTCTCAGGCCTTTTACTCATGCACACTGAATAATTCCACGGTGCGGTGACAGCCTGCAGCTCAGCAGCCAAATTACAGCCCTTTATAAATAGAGTAGTAACTTACACAACAACCAATTTATTTGAGACACCCTGCTGTACATAAGAAAAACATCTTGCACTCTAACTTATACCCATGCAGTATTGCTTACATTACAGCACCAGTGTGTTCCTTGTCATTGAGTGGTTCCATCATTCAGCCAACAAAAATGTTTGTGCACCTGCTTAGGTGTTCAGTCTTGTAGTTAGCATGGGGATTTGACATGCAGATCGTGGCAATCTGATGGTCTAGTGAAAAAGACTTTCTAGCCAGTGTATAATTATAACAAGAGACAATGAGTTTGTTGATAGAGTAGTTGTGAGTCCCTACTCAGGAATCAAGTAAAGCCTCCTGCAGAAAGTGGCACTGCAATGATTTGGTAATGGAAAGAGAGGACCTTATGGTGGGGAATCTAGGGGGCAGCTTCTCCTGCACTGTGCAATGTATGCCAAGGTTAATGTATTTCAGAACAATTTCAAGTAATACACTGCAAATAGGTCCTTGCCACAATAAAAGATGACACTGAGAACAACTGTAAGACCCCATTTAAAGTTTTAATGAGTCTCCAATAATAGCACCCTTCACTGATGTTTGAACGTAATTCTCGGTTATTGTCCCTTGCATTTTCTTCCTCGCTGCACTCTAGTGAATAGCACACAGAAATTGGACAGGCTGATGGATTGGTGCTTGCCTTTTAACATCCCACAAGGCACAGGAACAGGCATATACCACCAAGGTTCTGAGGAAAAGGGTGATCAATAAGAAAGAGTATGGAATGGGAAATGGAAACTGCTGGGGGTGGGGGCAGTAGCAGCTCTGAGGCCTGCATTTGTGACATCCAGGGCAAAGCAGTGACATGTTGAATGGCTGAATCAAGTGATGGTGTGGTCATTAGGAAAGAAGTGCGTTCACAGTACTTGTGGGCTCCATAGCCACAGATTCAATCAACCCCAGAGCCCAAATCTCCAGGAAAAAATATTGCACCTATATCAAACATCAATTTTTTTTTTTTGGTGGTTGGGGTGTGATCATCATTCCCTAAGTAATACAAGCTGTTTAGATATAGTGTTTACATTATATTGGGTATTGCAAGTCATCCAGAGATGGTTTCAAGTACACAGGAAGATGTACACAAGTGAGGTGCACATTCACAGAAGAGACTTAGGCATCTGCAGTCTTGGGTATCTACAAGGGGTTCTGCCATGCAGACACCAAGGCACTACCGTATTCTACTTCAGTCCCAGAAGATGGAGGGCAGGAGCTGCTTCACCTTAAAACTGGTGGCTGAGCATCCTTCCTTGCACAGCCTAGCCCAGCCCAGCTGCCATCGTTTGAAACTCATTGTCAAACCCACGCGAGGAAATTCCAGACGTTTGGTCAGCTGGAAATCCTCCAGGATGAAGAGCAGCTGAAGAGTCTGCTTGCTAATTACTAGACATTGTCATCTTTATATCACTAATAACCCAACAGCTACCTTTCCCTGAACCTCTTCTGTGAGCCGGACACAGGGCTAGACCTTCTACACTCATTAGCACCTAGCAGGGATAAGCCAGAACGGGCTGTGCTCAGCATTCACTGCTGCCGCTGGGATCAGGTTAAGTCAACCTGACACGACTCTGGAGGTGATAAATTGACCAGCAACTGGCCATCTGTGGAACAGGGAAGTGCTTGATGTACCCCAAGTCCTGGTTTTCAAAATGTGCTGCTGATACGTGGGCCAAGTGTGACATTTCATCTACAAATCCCTTACTTCCAGCTTCTCATGAAAACCACGAACTTGAAGCCACACGGAGCTTGCACGTGCACAGCTGAGCATCTGAGGGCAACTGCAACAGAGCTTTCTCTATCACTCATCTTTCCCTGGCCCGACACGCCCCCATTTCCCTACACTAACCACACTTCCTTCCTTCATGTGGTTGGTCTGACCTCTGTAGCCTTCTGAGACTGTGACCCATCCAGGAAGCCACCTCCCCAACCTCCCTCAGATCAGAAAGAGGTGCACTCAGTGTCTTACACTTCAACAAGTTATCCTCTCTGCCACCTTCCTCCAGCCTCTGGCTTCTCCATCTCAACTCTCAATGCTGAGCTGCAAAGTATTGATTCTCTATCCAGGAGTGTGCATCAGCGCACACAGAGGGTTTGTGAAGCACAGAACACAGAGTTCCACTCCCGCTGTCTCTGACTCAGGAGGGCTGGGGTGGGGTCTGCAAGCAGGTCCCAGGTGGCACTGCCATCATAGGTCTGCACCACACGCTTTGAAAACCACTGTACTACAACTCTAGAATGAATCCCAAATGTCTACTGGGTTCAGTGATGGTTGGGATGACAAGACTGACATCTTTCCTTTGGCCAGGGAAGGAAACGGGGATAGCCGCCATTTTGGACCCTCATGTATAGCCCCATAGAAACCAAATGAGTTGTGTGTTCCATGTCCAAGTAGCTAGCTTCCTGAATCTTTTATCTTCCAGGTTATTGTTAATTTTTCCCAAATGCTCCAATAAGAGAGGAAATACTAGTGGCATTATCCTAAGGGACTGCAGCTACAGGATTCGGCACTACTGACACTCCTTAAAGACCCGACACTGGAGAGTTTATTAATATTTAACACCACCAGCAGAAATAATGGTGATTTCTCCCAGGGTGTTGATGAGGTCCCAGGCACCTGCAGAGTCTCTCAGGGTCATAATGACCCTCTGATGTGGATCTGATTGTCTGAGACAGTCATTGCAGGTAATGAAACAGCGGATCAGAGAGGACAACAGACTGGTCATGATTCACCAGCTCTAGGATAATCAACTGTGTAACTCACTGTATTCACTCTGCTCAGACACACTCAGGACCGTTATACTCCAGCCCCCGTCTGTGTTCTAAGACGGAGGCTGGTGACCTAGAGAACCTGAGGCCCATGGAAGGGACATCCCATGGGACATGCTTGGCAGGGATGTGTGGGGACACAGGATTTGAAGGGAAGCTGGCACTTGCATGGGTGTGAGAGGGTTGCTTCATGGAGGCAGCAGCCCTGGGAGACCTTCTGGGTAGCATATTTGCTGTCTTATTTCAGTTTGCAACTACTAGAAGGACCACAGGTTGGACCTGGTCTCTCTGCCAAGCAGCATCTTAAGATAAACGGGCCTCAGCAAGGCTGCTGCAGAGCTGGGATGCCAAACATTTGGCTGGAAGGGCTACAGCAGCAGCACAGGGTGTGGGTGTTCCCTGGCTGACTCTCTTTAATTACATACCCTTTGCCCCCACATTCACGAGGCCCGCGGTGGCACCACACTGTCATCACAAGCTGGCTGAATGACCTTGCACAGACGTCCAAATCTCTCTGAACTTCCACTTCCTCTTCAGTAACACACAACAGTCCCCGTACCATCATGCCTAGCGCATAGTACTCAAGCCAGTAGCACCAATAGTATCTAAGTCTTGTGCATCTTGGCAGGCAGACAGGCAGGCGCTGCTTCTCAGCTTCCGTCGGTAGTTCTACAAACCAACATTAAACCCCACCGGGTCTGTGTTCTATTTAATTTTAGATCCTCCAAGCCAAATTGCAGTTCTGATTAAGTCAGGTGCAAATCCTTTCTTGGTGTTGACTGCAACTCCCCCCCACAGGCCCTGAATTTTTGCAGGGACAGAAAGCCTCCCCTGGGCACAGGGCTGTGCAGCGAGAGGGGTGGGAGACTGTTGTTCTTGCATGACACAAGTGATGGCAAAGCCACATCTACATCATTCTGCTTCATTCTGCTTTGCTTAGGTGAGAGCTGGCTGGTGAACTGCCTGCTGTCTTATTTACTGACTCAGATGTAGTGTATGTTTCAGAAGTAAATTTAAATACTGTTGAGATAAACAACGTGACCTTTTCAATGTCAGTAGAAAGCGAAAATGACACAGTTGAATTGGGGGGAAAGAATGAGGGCAAAATTAGATTCTTTATCATAGTCCAAAAATGGATCTGAACTCTGCTCACCCAAGAACCATGTCCAAGGAAGTTGCCAGCTAAGAGACAATTCCAATAATTGAATTGATACAAGCCCAAAACCCAATCACCATTCCCATATCTACAGAGACCAGGCTTGTGTGCTTGGGAATCTCCCATTTTTGTACAGTGACTGTGCATATCGGCGAGAACACCTGCTGACACATTCAAGTGGACATTCTGACGTCTGCCCTTTGGAGAACATCAGAGCACACGCAGGGTACGGCAGGAGAGTGAGCAACGGGCCCCAGAGTCAGATACAGCAGTTTACTTACAGCTTTTGGCTTATAGGGAGGCTGTATCTCCTTGCGTTCAAGTTTCTCCCAATCAATATACCGGAAAAACGCATGTTCTTTAATGTCACGTTCACCTTCAGGTCCACAACCCAGACGCTTACCTGGGTGTTTGGTCATCAGCTACAAGACAGGAAAAAAAAAAAAAAAGGTTGGCTTTAGTGAAGGTCAGAAGAGGAAGTGGGAGATATACAATGGGAAGAATCTCAATGGATTTTTGTTGCTTGCTTTTATCCCAGCAAGAATTTCCCAGGCAAGTTTCTTTCATAGAAAATCCCACAACACTACTCATTGCTCTCCATTCCCAGAGAGATTCCTTGTGGTTAACTCAAACCAAAGCCTGGATGTGGCTCTAAATTTTGAAATGCCACACGGTCCTTTTTGGTTCATGAATGAGTTTTATGCAATTACTGCTGTCTTCAGTGAGGACAGTTTCAATATTTTCAAACTTCCTTTTCCTACCCTGAGAAAACTAAGTTTGACCAAGGCAATGGCCATCTTCCTCCAGATACTGTTTGCATTTCTCAGTAAAGCACTTGTGAAAATGACAAAACAGAAGAGAAAATATTAGCCAAATGGACCCAAGTTACAAATAATTACTTTCTGAAAGCTCATTAAATAGTCAAAACCTAGCCCAGCTCATTTCCCTTGCATCTCATATTCTACTCAACTCCACCGAGGTTTCTTTGGTGTTCTGTTCAAATTACTTAATTATCAGAACCCTCCATCTTTGGGTCTCTGAGCCCGTGCTTAATAACAAGATGAATAGATGATCTGGAAAAAAAATCCAGCAGGCTTCCTTTTGCAAGAGAACCCGAAGCAGCATAGAAGCACATCTCTGATCTCCAGACGTCAACAAACACCCTGAGATCAGAGATGATATGCTGGTGATTTAGAAAAGAAGCCAACAAGAGGAAGCAAGAACGCACAAACGCCAGCAGCTGCGTGTCAGAGGTGACACTTGGTAGTCTATCACATCATCAGGTAGCCCACTGATGTCACCGCATAGTCTGCAATGTCACCAGGTAACTGATGATGTCACAGCCTCATGTTTTGTCCACGATTTGCTGATTGTGGGAAAGGGATCAGCCCAGAACTTCCCACCTATGCTGTTGAACATTTTAGCTAAACCTGGTTCCTCCTTAACAAGATAATCAGCAGTCATTTTCACAAGAACAAGCTTTTCAAACACACTGTCCACCTTCTGGGAGAAAAATAAGTGAATGCTGGGGTTCTAAGAAGCTGCTTTATTTATAGGCGTGATTTTACTTGCCAGTCACAGCAACTCAATGAAGTGTGTATGTGATTTGTTTTTTCACATTAAATGACAAAGCAGATGATGTTCAGAGAGATTAATTAGGTACCAAACTCATAAAGACACCAAGAGGCGGAACTGCGGTTGGATCCCACCCTTGCATCCCTCATCCTGGACTTTGTAGAGAAAAGGGAGGATGCTGACCGTAACTACGGACTGTAGTTCTCTCAGGGATATGGGTGGCTTGGCCTAGCCATGAAAGGCTGATAGAATGCAGGAAAACTAAGCCAAGCCCTTGGGATGAGGTTGGGATGAAAGTAAAAAAAGGCTAATTAAGCTCTGGTTAGTACTGATAATAATACCAGAGAACTTGTGAAAGTTCATGGAAAATGTAGAATTAAACATAAGTTTATGTTGGTGCAAAAAAAAAAAAAAACCCCTGAAATCCACACATTTGAGGGTTTTGAAAAGTTCATCCAAATGTGTTTTGTGACAAAACGACGCATATATTTAAAAACTGACACCAAAATAAACATCTTGCAATTCCATTTTCCATGAACATTCCATAGGCCCTTTTTTGGCAGAAGCCTCACTCTATTTCTGTGTTGGCAGAGGGATGCCCGACAAAGAAAAGGTTCTGCAGGCACTTCCGGCACCCAGGCGCAGCCTCTGCCCAGTTCCCGCACTCTGCACTGGGCTGCCTCGAGCCATTCAGACAGCTGGAGTTAATCACCGTTCCAATCTCTGATCACCTCCCAGATGCTTCCCTCCGGGGCTGCCTGTTCAGGAAGAAGCAGCTGGCTGATCATTTGAACATCACCCCTTCCTTGGAGCATCAGTCGTGAAGAAAGAGCCCACACTGGCCTCAGCCCACTCTACTCCAAAAGGTTCCCAAGCCCAACAGTGAGACAGTCAACCCCGTGAATCCTGAAGGTTATGGGTCCTGAATTAATAGGAAACTGCTCTACCAGGGAAAGTGCTAATTGGAGCTGAAGCTGAATGCAGCTGACCTGGAAACTCATCTCTTCTCCATGACCCACTTAGAGCCCCCCAGCTGTCCGGGCAGGGCAGGCTTGTGAAAGAGAAGAGAGGCTCGAGCCTGTATTGAGTACCTACTAGGTGCCAATGACATGCATAGAGCTTCCCCTTCTGTTGGGTCACTGAACAATTTCAAAAATCTCTATGTAATGAACCTGTCCACTTTTAGAGAAAAAGAAACACAGCCCAGAGATGCAAAGAAATTTTCCCAAGAATAGGTGCCGGGGAAGCAGTAGGGTCAAGATTTGCAAAGGGTCTTTGGGGTAGATCTTTGTTCCTAGCTCAAGGGACACAAACTCATATGCCAAGAGGAGCCTGGCATGCTAATACTAGTGCCTACACGAGTGTCATGGTCATAGCAATAGTCCCTGGGCTCTGATGCACAGCGCAGGGCTCTGCTCTGCGGAGCCTGTGGCAATTGACTCATGGGCATTCTCAAAGATCCCTATGTGGAGGGCCATGCTGATTGCTCATCCACAGAAGAGGCTGAACAGCATTGTCCTGTTCACAAGGCTTTGCACGCTTGGTCCAGGAGTTGAACCCAGACAGAACTGAGCTAGAGGGACAGCTCCTGGCTGCAGAGCTATGATAACCTGGGCCATACCCTCAGGTTGGCCTGCCTGAACATTCTGGCTTTTTCCTTCACCCCCAACCAGCTCTGAATGGCACTGGATTGAGGGTCTGAAAAAGTGGGGCTGGTGGGACATGTCAATCTGTAGGTGATCCAAGAACCCAGGATCAGCAGCCTCATGTACTCAAAGGCTCCAGTGGGGAACATGTTCACGCATGGCCGTGTTCTGATCTTGAGAATACACCAGCACCATTCAGGGTGGATGATTTCCAAAGGCATCTTCCTTGAACCTTATTCTCCTGAGTCACACACACACTGCTTTAACACATTCATCAGAGAAATGACCTCGTTTGGATGAAATGTTTAAAGGCACTGGTTTTTTGAGCCACAGAAATTATTTCACAATACTGAAGCTCAAACCTCATCTCTGGAGTAGGACACATTAAATCAAAGGCAGACTCACGGCAGGGTGGGGCAGTGAGAGAGAGAATTTACTGGTTCACTTTCCAAATGCCTGCAACAGCTGGGGCTGCAGCTGGGCCACGCTGAAGCCAGAAGCCAGGAAGAGCATCCTAGCTTCCCACATGGGTGGCAGGAACTCAAACCCTTAGGCCATGGCCTACTGGGAAGCTAGATCAGAAGCCTTAGTCAGGACTTGATCTTAGGCACTGTAACATGACATGTACGCATCTCAGGCAGTGTCTTAACCCACAACACCCCACAGCTGCCTCGAGCTGTACCTTCTATCAAAGTACTTCAAGTCACGCTGATGGCTTCAAAGCAGGGGATCACACAGGGTCTCACACAGGTCACCAGAGTGTCTTCGCTCCATACAAGTAAGGTATATAACAAACAACTCTTACACACAAGCACTCTGCCTGCTTTATAGGTGCAGTAAGCATCTACTGCAGGTACACAATATATAGGCACTTTCAGCCACTTTTTTTTTATAAGGGTGAAGAGAAAACGGAGGTTTACACACCTGAATTTAGCTCTGTTCATCTAGAAAGCCCTTTAAAGTCAATATTGCCAGATATTTTCTTAGAACAAGTAACAAACTGCTAGTATTCATGAAACACATATACAGTGATATAAGGCAAGGTAGGTCCAAGGTGTGCCAAAGACCTCTTGTGCCCCTCTCCGTGGATTCAGCTCTTGGGCAAAGTCTCTGTGCTTCCTCCCTTAGTCATTCAATCAGCATTTCCTGGTGTGGGGCCAGAGGCTGGAGGGCAGCCAGGAGCAAGATGCTGTCACAGGCAGGCCCCTACGGTGCTTTTGTGCAAATTAAAAAAAAAAAATGAGAAAGAAAAAAGAAGCACATTTTCCACCGAGACGTAGCAGCTCCATGCCAGGGCTCTTGCAAGGCAGGCGAGCAATGCAGTTCAGTCTTCATTTCCCCGACATTATCCCTGCATGTGGTGGTCTTGGCTACAAGATTGAAGATGCCTACTCACCCCTTTGCAGATGGCCACTGCTTCCTTGGACATGGACTTGGGGTAAGCCACGTTGTGTTCCATGATGGATTGGAAGAGTTCATCCTCATCTTCCCCTTCAAAGGGTGCCTGGGGGACAGAAGTAAGGTGGGAGGACAAGGAGCTTTGCCTGAACCCTGCCCCGCACTTACCCCAAACTGTCAATCGGGTCTTGCTCCAAGGGGGGGCACACAGAGAGGCCACCCCCTAGGGTCCTTAAATACAAGACAGGGAAAAACAACCAACAGACTTGGATAACCCCAAGGCCAAGAAGACCACTGTCAAGCCCACAGACTGATGAGTCAGTACTGAGTCCCCTTTTTCTTCCCCAGAAAGCATGTGGAAGGAGCTGGGGGAGGACTTTCCTTACAGATCATGTACAATTCAATTACCTGCCCAGCCAGCATTTCATACAGTAGGACTCCAAAGGCCCACCAATCCACAGACTTCCCATAGGGCTGATATGCAATTATCTGGAAGACAAGAGGCATTCGGTGAGGAAGGCTCACAGCTCGTGGTGCAGCCAAAGACAGAATCTGCACACGCTTTCTTTACAGCATGTGGGCAGAGGGAGGGAGAGTCCTACACTGGCCTATCGCCCGCCTGTTGTGAAAAATGAGAGCGGTGCTCACCATCCGTGATGCGGTGTCTCAGAGTGCATGGGCAGACCTATGCTATTCTGTGCCTCAGCTAGGTGGAGAGTGATGGACACATTTCACACAGGTATCTATGAGCACCTGCGGGTGTCACACTGCCATCTGGAAGCCAAGAGTATGGTGTGTTATTGTACCGAAATTTCAAAAACAATGAGTATGGCATTTGAAAGAGATAACACTGTTTTACTGAATGCTGAACTGCCCAGTAGAAATGCTGGAAAGTTAATACTGCAGCAATGGTGAGGATGGCAGATCTTATGCTATATATTTCTTTGTTTTTAGGCAAAAATGAAAAAGCTTTAAAAGCAGTAACATTTGTGGGACTGGTAACATAGTGTAGTGGGTGAAGCTGCCACCTGCCCAAATGGGTGCCAGTTCACATCCCGGCTGCTCCACTTCTGAAAAAGCTCCCTGCTAACAGTCTGGGAAAGCAGTAGAAGAAGGCCCAAGTGCTTGGGCCCCTGCACTCATGTTGGAGACTCAGATGAAATGTCTTGCAGCGTTCATAAAGCAAATGATATGAAGAAGAGACTTCCAAAAGGTTATGGAAAATGCATGCTATTCAAAGCCGTGTGTGGATTTCAATTTTTTTCACACCAAAATAAACTCATTTTCATCATGATCCATTTGAAATCCCCTTGTATACATGTTATAGGATTTCTTGAAACGTATTGCTAAAGTTGCCAGAGCATGGCAAACTCTGGATTAGCTGTGTGACTATCCATCTTTCAGTAGGCACGGCTGTAAAACTAAGGGTGAAGAGGTGACACAATGAAGGTTGGATGGCCTAAATGAATCCCAACTGCTTTTTAAACAGATATCTCTTTATTTGAAAGGGAGCAAAGAGAGAGGAACCTATCTTTCAGGTCCCTACCTCAAATAGCCAGGGCTGGGTTAGGCCAAAGACAAGAGCCAGAATTCCACCCAGATCTCCCACCTGGGGCAGAGGCACTGCTGTCTTCTTGGATGTACTAGCGGGGAGTTGGACAGGTAGGGGAGCAGATGGCACACCTCTTGGTTTAGACTCCGCAAGTCATAGCTTAACCCACTGTGCGTCGACACCAACCCTGGAATCCTGACTGATTTTATCAGCTACAGGATACCAGGGGAAGTTACTTGGCTTCCTTAGGCCTTCTTCCACAGGAAGACGCTTATTATAGTATCTATGACATGACGGTTCTGGAATGAGGAATGAGGTATTAGCAGTCACTCAACTCTCTGATTGTTAAGTATGTGCTTTACTCAATAAAGGAACTTGAGCAAAACTGGCTGTCAAGTGAGTGTGCCCATCCCGTAGTTCATCTCTCAGCCTAAAGGCAGAAATGCAGGCATGCTGTATCGGAGGACACAGAATCTCAGCTGGATAGCAGGAATAAATCCATCCAAGGAGCAAGTTGTACATCATGGTGACCATAGCTGACAACAGTGGGTTGCTTTCTTGAAATTTGCTAAGACAATAGATTTGAAGCTTTCTCATACCCACCTCCACCCTGTCACATAGGCAGAGAGAGAGAGAGAGAGAGGTAGGTATGTGAGGTCATGCATATGTCACCTAACTCAGTTTGGCCTTTCATGATGCATATGTATGTCAAAACAACTTATTGTATATGAACACTGTATACAGTTTTTATTTGCCAATTGTGGAAAGGAAAATAGGAATAAATGAAGGGGAAGAAAGAGGGAGACAAGAGAGAGAGAAGAAAAAAAGAAGCGAATTCTGAGAAGTCACCGTAAGACTTTGGCAAACAGTTCTCATGGCCAGTGTTTTCACAGTTTTAAGAAACTTCTTATCTCCTTTGATCCTCATGACAACTCAGCAATGAATCCTTTCCCTAAGGAAAGCAGAGCCTGGAGAGGCGAGACACGCTGCCAGAGGTGAAGTGCTTCCTGCCAGCTGGGTCCTCCATCCACAGGCTGGGCCGACAACACCGCTCAGGGCTCCGTGTGCTTGCGGCATCACAGCCAGCAGGTGCTTCGGGGAAGCACAGCTCCTGGGTTCCACCTTGTGGATTCTAACTCAGTTGTCACAAGGTGACACCTGGGCATCCTTGCAATGCTCAAGAACAGCTGGAGCTGAAAACCACACAGCATCGAAAGATTGTATCACAATTAGGTTTGCTATCAACAGCTAATTGTCAAATAATAAAAGGGCAAACTTTCCTGGGCTCCATGAAGGATTGATTTCCAAAAAGAATTACTTTCTTTTTACTCCAGTAATAATGTTTACCTTGTGAAAAACGTAAAAAGATAGTTAATGGCACTAGCCTTAACCATGTACTTAAACTCTCAGGCCGTCAATGTTACAAGTTCCAGCTGTAGGATAATTGTAGAAAATCCAGACTTTCTATGCCTTTACATGTTCACATGCATATTCATAAAAGCATATAGCAGGGCCCAGCGTGGTAGCCTAGGGGCTAAAGCAGTCTGGGACAGCCCAAAGCCTTGGGACTCTGCACCTGTGCGGGAGACCCAAGAGAAGCTCCCGGCTCCTGGCTTTGGATTAGCTCAGCTCCGGCCATTGTGGCCACTTGGGGAGTAAATCAGTGGATGGAAGATCTTTCTCTCTCTCCTTCTCTTTGTAAGTCTGACTTTCCCATGCTTTTTTTTTTTCTAAAAAAAGCATATAGTAATGTTGTATATGTTTCTATTATCCACAAATCATACTATATTTAACATATAATTTTGTATCTTGATTTTTTTTCTTAACAATATTGAAGGCTTTTCCATATCTACCTATGTATGTGTGACACTCTTTTAAGTTGATGCCTAGTAGTGTTTCTCTTTTTAACATTTAAGAAGTTTATTTGAAAAGCACAATGACGAGAGAGAGAGAGAGAGAGAGAGAGATCTTCTATCAGCTGGTTCACTCCCCAAACATACTGAATAGCAGAGGTTAGTCCAGGCCAAAGTCAGGGTCTAGAACTCCATTTACATTTCCTGAATATGGCAGGAACTCAAATACTTGAGCCATCACTCGCTATTTGTATTAGCAGGAAGCTAGATCAGAAATGGATGGAGGATTTGAATGGAGGCTCATTATGGTACGTGGGCCCCTCAACTGCTGTACCAAATGCCACTCCACTTGAGTTCCACGCTACAAAGATATCATCAACTATTGCCAAATCCACTGTTGAGGGGCCCTGCTCCAAGTTAGCACAGGCATGTAAATGTACTCTGCTCTTTCTAAGAATTAGGATTTCCTAATAGGAACGTAGCTGATTGGAGCTAATCACACCTTTATTGAGGGTCACTGAGGTTGGCTCCTACTTTTCATTAGAAAAACACAGTGCTGAAATGAAGGAATGACTTTGGACCCATATTCTCACCCTTGTGTGTGTGCATGCATGTGGGATGAGAAACTGAATTCCTAGAAAGGGACCTCCCATAGTACAAGGACAGAAAGGTTTTCAATTTTCTGTCAAGCTATTCCTTTTACACGGTGACTCCCATCAACCATTTTTGTATGAAAGTGGCTGAGAGTTGAGAAAAAGTAAATTTGAGAATATCCGTGGTTATTTCCAAGCCTCTTGTGCTTTTCAAAACAAACCAAAACCCAAACCAAACAAACAAACAAACAAAACAAACAAACAAACAAACAAAAAACAGAGAAAAGGCAGCTTCTTATCCAGCGTCAATGACTGTACTATGTCATGTCAGGAAAATCCATCCCCTGGCCGTTTCCTTTGGGGAGGGAAAAGATGTTCTGTAAAGAAAATATTTACTCCTTCATTTGTATCCAAATCATGGGGCAGTGGGGGAAAGTCCAGGGTCTCCGAGGAGTCATCAGAACTACTGAATACACAGCACGCATTCTCGTGTCATGGGCCCAGGGGATCTGTTTCCTCTCTCAACAGCCATCTCAGTGTCATCCTTAGGAAGGCTCCCACAGCCGTGAGCACAACAGCTTGACAGAGGCCTTCACTGATGTGTGTTTGGATGGTTCTTTTGAGTTTTGTTTGAATTTTCTCCCAAACCTTGATGTATTTTGGGTTCGAGCTTCTGGATGTGTGCTAAGTTAATCTGCATGTGTGATCACTAAGGAGACATTTAGAGTGCAGGATTAAGGATCGGCCCGAGGCTCACTTGCTATGTACCTCTCTCCACCAGTTCGGCTTTCACAATGCCACCTGGAGATGGGGTGTGGCGTCAAAGGAGAAGGAGGGCAATGCAGGTGTGTGTGGAGGGTCTCTCACCTCAGGGGCGATGTAATCCGGAGTACCACAAAAGGTCTTGGTTGTCACGCCATCCCAAATGTTTTCTTTACACATGCCAAAGTCAGCGATCTTGATGTGTCCCTCGGAATCCAGCATCACATTGTCAAGTTTGAGGTCACTGTGGCAGACAGAAGCATTGAAGGTTTTCAGGAAATGCAACCAGCAAGTCAACCAACAGCTACTCATTTTGCATACAACACACTGCCAGATGTTGTGGGGGCATGCCCTCGGGCAGCATCCAGTCTGACAGGGAGATTGTTCTGTTTTCTTACAGAGCTGGATGTGTCAAGCATCTCACAAAAGATAGGATAACAGCAGCTCTGAGAAGCGGGAGATACAAACAGCTAAACCAAAGGTGGAGGTTCCAACAGTATTCCACAAGTTCACCTCCCTCTTGGGTTGCCACTCCCACTGATGAGTACAAGAACCAAAACTAGGGGCTGGCATGGTTAGACTAGACAGAGTGGCACCCGTCAGCACCAGTATGATTGAAGAGTGGGAATGGTTGGGATGAATTAGGTTTCAATGCCCATTGGCATATATGAGAGCTGAATGGGATGTGGGACAGACTGGACCAGTCTGCTGTGCATATTGGCAAGCACAGGAACCAGGGCAGGGGGAGGCTATTGTGGGGGTTACTGCGGGTTGCCCCCACCAGGTTGCAGCTCTCACTGGTTTACGTGAAGCCCTCCTCTGCTCCATTCAACAGATTCTCACTGATGCTTCACAAGGGGGACTGGAACAACTGTTTTCACTTTCAACACACCTACCACATATGGCAATTGACAAATTAGAGAAGAAGTTTGACAGGAAGGATCCTTTTTCCTGCCCCTCTGCTCAACACTTCCAGCCTATTCCTCAGTCAGAGACGGTCTGGCAATCTCCTTGAGAACTGCTGAGTTAACTGGAGATCAGAACGAGGGACTGAGCTTATGTGTAACATCTTAGCGGACTTCACCACCACAAAGACAATCTATGAAGTCATAAACCCATACATCTTCTGCATGCATAATGCTTTTTTAGTTTGCATTCAGTTATTAATTTCAAGAACTCTCTCCCAGTTGAAACTTTTGATAGCAAGCACCATGAACCAACTCTGACAATTTTAAACTAGACAGGAATTTATGAAGGAAGACTAGGAAGCACACATGCAATCTCCAAGGAGGTTGTAGAAGCAGATTTGGTGACCACATCGCCAGAGATCATGCCTAAATGCAATGCAGTGCTGGTCTGGTGAAGACGTCACAGTGCTTCTAACTCTGTCTGTCTGTCTGTCTGTCTGTCTCTCTCTGTTTCAGGAAGTCCTAATACTGCGCTCTGCACTTTGCCACTAAGACCCACCTCTGCTCATGTTTCTAAAGCTGCAGCTGTTTACCATTCTCAGTTTGGCTGGCTCTGCTTCCTTAGGTACTAGTTTCTGACTCCAGTTCTTGAATAAACATGAGCGTGTCAGATACTGGGTTGTGTGCCTGCCCTTGCTACAAGGAGGCTGTGAGAGCGAGTATCTGGCGTTTTCAATCTGTATGGTAGGAGATGGGCTCTGTTCTTACACAAAACAAGCGGGTTTAGGTACTGTCTGCCTGAGAAGATTGCTAAATATACCCTTAAAGACTGTAGAGACAGCAGAGCATGAGAGACAGGATGGGACAATACGTTAGAAGAGCAAGCTACAGAACAGGTATGGTGCTAGCACTTTGGATGGTGCTCTCTGCATTTTTTTTTATCTTCCTGGCCACAGACCCCAGATCCAAACCCAATTCCTTCTTCAGCTGGAAGCGGTCCCTGAATCCTAATCCAATTGTCCAAAACGAATTATTTACTTTCTTGCCTAATTGTATACTGCAGCTTACATTTTTCTCTAATGAGCTTGTAGTTCTGTATTTAATTTTATAAAGAACCTGGTTGGTTCTATTCTATTTCTCTTCAAGGGGAATGAGAAACTTGCTACAGGCCCTGTTTCTTTGAGCAACAGCTGAAGTCACTGGCTTGAATTTAGAGGTCATGTCTTATGGAAGATTGTGTGTACCTATTGATGCCAAAAGGACCTTCAATATAACATGATGCTGTGAGCATCAAAAGGGAAACTGAGGCAATCAGGGGATCCACACACCTCATCTCATACTCTCCCAGTGATACATGTTTACTGAGGGAAGGCATGGGCAGAAGGATCTACTTAAACTTTGACTTTTTCTTCCATCTATGCCTTCACTAGGCTACCCCTGTGCCAGGTAAAACCACTTGTCTTTTTGAAGATAGTGAAGGGACTCTGCTCTCAGGGTACAATGGCTCCCCTCCTCCACTATATTTCACACCACCACTTGAAGGAGTCAAGCTCTGCCCCTCCCTTCTACCTCTCCATCCCACTAGCACCCACCTCCGCTGTCTATCCAGAAACCACCAAATGTCATCTCTTTGTCCATATCCTTCAGTTGCAAAAGGCCCCCAAAACTCCCAAATCATCCTTAACTCTCCAGGCCCCCAATGACCACATTTTCTTACACAATGAGAGGAAACCTCCTCCTACCCCAACCCTACCCGTTTCTCGACAGACTCTATTTTGGCTCACTTCCGTGTCTCTGTCTCTTACGGAATCTAACCTCCACTAGGGTTGGGACTTTCATCCGTTTTCTTCACGGTTGTGCTCTCTCTACCCAGAGTAGTGCCCAGCACAATGGAGGGTTTGATCAATATTTGTTGAGCAAATCAATGAAATGGACTTGCTGAGCGTTTCGTGGTCTTTGAACTGGATCCTCACCTGTGCCAAACGCTGTTTGGAAGTCCCATGTCACTGACAGCCTCTCTTGCATAACAAAGCAGTCCCAGCAAGCATTGCCTTGCCATTTGCATCCGTGTAGTGCAATGAGAATTGGACACCCAGGGCTCACTGACAAATAGCAGCCTCGGGCTCAATAGTCTGTCTTGCATGAAATATAAAATGCTATGACTCACACAGCCGTGATCATACAGTTGCTCCTCCAAAAACCAGCAAATGCCAAGTCCTGAACTTAAGCCTGTCTTTCAGGGCAAGCTACTCAGAGCTTATTCCCCAAATTACAGTTACACAGCAAAAGAAAAAAAAAAACTGTTTCATAATAACATAATCCACCACTTTTTGCCAGTCAAGATTTTTTGCTTATTCCCCAAAGGTGGGATCCACAGGTGAAAGAAGCAATGGGACCCCCTTTGGGGAGCCTCCTGCTCTCAGAGCAAATAGCATCACGTTTGAGGCCCCAGTGACACAGTCTATCAAGATTTTTCTATCGCCATATAGAGCCGCCCAAACCTTGCCAGGGCAGTGGGCGATGCTGCCTGGCAGAACACATGCCCAAGTTAGTACTGGAGGATTCCTCCCCCACCAGGGATTCTAATTTTAAAAGCAGTTGAAGAAGGAGGCAGGGTAGGGTGGAGCTGAGAGAGATGAGGAGATGTGAAGGACAGCAGTGGTCACTTACCGGTATATGATGCCCTTGCTCTGTAAGAAGAACAGACCGATAGCAATTTCTGCAGCGTAAAATCTGAAATTAGACCAAAAAAAAAAGTGATGGAGAGAGTTAAGGACATTATATGCTTGGCAATTCCCAGAATTCAATACACTATTGAACTGGGCATTGGGCATCACACTTCCACCACAGTTGGTCTATTGCACATCTTCAAATATTTGGAAGATGGGGGAGTGAGTGGGGTGGTTTCCAGAGGTCACTCTGAGGACAAAATGGGAGCGACAGGAAGTTCAGCAGTAGCACACTGGGTAAGATGGACTGGATGGAGAATAGCTTCAGACTGCAGCAAGGTAAAATATCCTAATAATATCAGCCAGCCTCTGTTGGTGTGTGATAGTCTACCTGGCTTAACTGTAGGCAGGTTCTGATTTAATGCTAATCACAATCTCATGAGATAGATCCTACTGTTACCTCCTATTCCTATAACTGAGACTTGAAGAGATGAAGTAACTTGATCAAGTCATAGATGTGGTGCTTTACAAAGTCAATAAGAATCAGAATTATAAGTTTATTTCTATGCAAAGAGTGTTCAAAAAATGCACTAGAGAGGACTTAAAAACTCATGGGAAATGCACATGTTAAAAAAATTAGGCACGTGTTTAAAAAGTTTGCCCTAAAATTAACTAGTCTTTTCATTACATTTGCTGCCAGCTATGTTTTGAAGTACTCTGGATTTTAAAAATGCATGCAGATAATAATGCAATTTACAAATAACATGCATTTTTCTATGACCTGTTTGAAACCCCCATCACTAGATAATAAACAGTACCACCGAGATTGGAAATAGCGTTCGTCTTTTTCCAATTCTGTTTTCATTAGACACGTAACTTCTTAATGAAAGCCCACACAGAAGGAAACATTTTTTAATTACTTATTTATTTGTGAAGCAGACAGAGAGCTCCTAACCACTGATTCACTCTCCCAAAAGCGAAGACTGGTCAGGTCTGGGTCAACGCTGAGCCAGACCAAAGCCAGGAGCCTGGCCAGCAGGAACTGGATCAGTCATTGCTGCTGCCTCCAGGCTCTGCAATAATAGGAGGCTGTTGTCAGAGGCCTGACTGGGACCGAGCACTCTCCTTTCAATATGGATATGGGCATCTTAGCCATTGTCTTCACTGAGCTAAACCCTGACCCCTGAGAGAGGTTTTGAGGGAGCTAGCAGGGTCAGTTACAGGGTCTCGAGGCTCTCTGATCATAGGTCTTCAGTGACAGTGTAATCAAAGCCTCAGGTCAATTAGAAATCAAATTTTAAAAAAAAATTTCACTCAAGGGTTCCCTTAGAACTTTATTAAAAGGTACGAACTGTTTTGATTAGGAAAAAACAAGAACACCATAAACCCTACCATGACAGAGTGCTCACATCTTCAGCAGGTGGGAGAAGGGACAGGCTGACTTAAACAGGTGCAAACCAGCTACTGGAATGAGAGTTGGGGCCCCAGTGTGCCATGGGAGCTTCCTGAAGTGGCACTAAGATCTCAGCAAGTTCCCTGGGAGAGGCAGTTGGGATAATTCTATCACCAGCCTCATTCCTATTCACCCACAGGGGTAGCACAGGAATAACACGATACAGTCTGTGTACTAAAAAGAAAAGACTTGGGTTCCTTTGTGAGTTGAAAAAAAAAAACAGAATGAACTTAGCAGGAGACACATTTCCCAGAATTGGTCTGCCTGTCCCAGGAACCACAAACCACTGCTAATAGTCAATTTGGTCCTTTGTGTGTCTGGAGTAAAAATAATGGAAGACAGAGCTGAATGACATGGGTAGGAATTCTGGACCAACTTCATCCTAGCTCTGGGATCTGGGCAATTTTCCCAACCCCTGTGGCTCTCAGTGTGTAAAGCAGGGATTCTGACTTGTCCTCAGGATTAAATGAAAGCATGTTTGTTAAAACACTTAAGATCTAGCACATAGTAAGCTCTCAACACATCTGAGCAGGTACACAGACAACTTAGGGAGTGACCCTCTCCAAGCAAGGTTACCCGGCCTTCCTTAGGAGTCAGGGGCAAGAATTGGAGACAAAGAAATAGCTGTGGGTTTAGAGCCTTGAGTTCTTAGCTGGTGTCAGGAAAAGAGAAACCATCCATGCCAAATAGAACACCTTTTCCCCTTGACCACATGCTTCTCATAAAGAAGTCGCTCATTGGCTAAATCCCTAAATGACTGGCCCATGGACCCCCAAGAGAAAAGCACAGCCCAGGTTCTCACTTACACAGCATGAGGCTCCTTGAACCGGCCCACTTGCTGGATGTGGTACATGAGGTCCCCTCCATTCACATACTCCATGACAAAGTACAGGCGGTCCTGGAGACAGACAGCAAGGTCAAGGTCAGCACCCTGCAGGTCCTCAGATCTTTAGGGAGAGCAGGGGACAACTGGAGTTTACCATCCAAGCCATCAGGGCTTTCCCACATGTCCCCACTTGATGGGATTGGTGATCACTCAAGGATAACATTTGTGCCAGTGGAAGTCCTTGAGCAAGCATAAATGATGTTCAATTAAGGGTTTTTTTGTAGTTAGAAACTACTTACGTTTAGACTGGAAAATAGAATTAGCACATTGATGGTACAATATATGTATTATGTAGGAGATGGCTAATCTTAAAAAAAAAAGTAGACAATGTTAAGTAAATAACACCACAAGTGATGGGAAGTGGTGATAGTTTTCATGAGGGTCCCGAGGGATTATTCTTCAACCCCTGGTATTCGTGCTCTGGGTTAGTACCTTCCCAAAATGAACAGGACTGACTTATGTGACCAATAGGATGTTACATAAATGACAAGGCATGATTTTTGAAACTAGGTCAGAAAAGGTTTCATTCTGGGGGAAGCTAACCGCCATGGCAGCGGAAGCTGTAGCAGCACTAAGCACAGACATACTGGGCAAGGAATTGAGGCAATTCCAACCTCTGGTGCCAGCTCCCAAGCCACGTGAGTCAGTCATCTGGAATCCTATCAAGTCTTGAGGTGACTACAGTTGCTGCTTGATTGTAACTTCATTAGAAACCCAAAGTCAGAATCTTCAGGAAGATATCTAGCATACTACCCCCAAGTCCCTGACCCACAAAAACTTGTGACATAGTAAATGCCTGTTGACTATTTAACTACTCAGCTTTGAGATACTCAGCAATAGACAGCCAACTTCGTGGCTCTCAAAAGCAAAACAAAGTATGAGTTATCAAGGTCTGACAGTGGGGTCTATGCAGAAGTGAGGGAATCAATCCAGAAGAAAACAAAGCAAACACAAATACACATCCCCATTCAGGGAGGTTTTTTTTTTTTTTCTCTTATCTTCCCAGGAATATCGTGAACTTCTTCTATCTAGGGAAAACCTCTTTCTGGTATCAGAACCAGCACACAGTAGGTGCTCAAAGAACAAATGAGTGCAGACTTTGCTAGCAAAGAGAAAGCCAAACTTTGGAAAACCAAGCGTGGCTTCAGATACCTAGATGCATTCGGAGAATTTATTTCACATCTGTGTTTTCTCATCTGTAAAGTGGAGATCATAACATTGCTACTGGGATTAAATGAGACAGATGTGTGTTATGGTGTTTAGGCAGCACCTACGTGTCACCAACCATCTTTCCTCTATCCATGAGTGTTGGCTAGACAAGTGAATGACTTTGCCATGATTGAGAGACTTCATCCTGGTTTAAATTATTCCTTTACACAATGTTCCTTTGTCTGCACTATGGGTAGGAAGGTGAAGTTCTTCATCTTCTCAGCCTAAAACCATCACTTCCTCTAATTCACCCAATCTAAATTCATCCCATCCCCTACATTCTTTCAAGAATCTCTGTGGTTTTTTCTTCCGATCATGTCATCATTTGTAATTACATATCTAACAGATGATTATTTGCTTTGTTTATTTTTTGATTCATTAAATACATATATTTAGATGTTTACATATACATATTTAATGAGGATCTACTTAGGTACCAGGTTGTCTGTAAGTGCCGAGACTAGATCTGGGAACAAAACCAACAAAAATCCCTGCCTTTATCTTCCATTCTCTGTAAGCAGACGCAGTAGTTAACAGGTAATAATTGCAATGAAAACAAACAGCTGAGCAAGACAAATTGGTGGAAGTGCCAGGCAGATGAGATGGGAAAAGTTTCCACTTTCAATAAAATGTTTGGGATAAGCCTTCTCATGAGGGGGTAAGCCAAGACATGAAGGAAGTGATGGAAGAAGCTATGCAGATACCTAGAGCAAGAGCTTGGTAGTGGGGATAGGAAACAGTCAATGCAAACGGCCTGAGGTGAGAATATGCCTGTTTCCTATACATGCGGAGCCTGCAAGACTGAAGAAGACAGAAGAAGGATCCTGGGTAGAAATGGGGCCAGAGAGGTGACAAGGGACTCCAGGGGCTGACACAAAGACTTAGGTGTCATTGTGGAAGACATGATTGGAAGTTCCACACATACCCAGGGACCATGCCAAATCTGCTTACCATTGTGGACTAGAACCCAGTACAGTGACTGGCTAGCGGGAGTCCCCAGTGCTCTTTACTGAGTGAATGAAGAGGTGATGTGAGTGGCAACAGCAGATGGCAGCCTTCCAAAGCACCAGCTCCACAGTCAGAATGAAGCCCTGGCCCCACCCTTTCCAACTGGGTGGGCCTGAGCAGATCATCTTTAGTCTTGCTGCTTGCACTTAGAAAATCAGGGTAATGTAATCAGCTGTCTCAAACGAAGTGACTGAGAGGTCTCAGGAACACATGTGATGTGCAGCTAACTCTTAAGTGTAATGTTCTGTTGAAACCAGTGCCCTTCAAACTCCAGTTGTGGCTCCATTGAACTGATCAGGGAAGAAGTTTGGCGGGTTGTAATCAACTTCAACAAGGAAGAGAGGAAAGAGGAAAGGAGGAATGACAAGAGAGAGGGAAGAAGGGAAGGATGGGGAGACTGGGATAGGAATGATCAGGGTATCTTTCTCAGAGCACCACTTGGTGTTACTTAGTGGGATTTTTGCTCTTGGTTACATTCCCATATCGCTGTAAATGGTACAACCCGCACAGGTGCTGGCCAGGCTCTTGTGAAGAGTTCTAGAACCAGGTGATAGGTGGCAGGAAAGTGAGGTATAGGGCAAAGTTTCCACCTTGGAAATCAGGGTATGATTTGCAGTCTTACCTCACTCTTACAATCTGTGCAATGCTGAGTGACCACTTTTCTCTTTACCTGCAGAGCTCATGTTCCTCACCTGGGGGGCGGACTCTTCAAGATGACGTATGAAAATTGTCCCACATGATGTCGACCGTACAACACATATTGCACTCACACTGGAACGGTCTTCCTGATGCTGCACTACGCTTCGAGTCAGGTGCAGTCATCATCTGTGTGTATGTCAAATGTGCACAATGTGCTGGATAGTGGTAATCATTGTAACCATGAACCAAAGTATTCACTGTGGCACTGAATCAAGTGTTTTATGCAGTCTGCCTTGCTTCCTGTCCTAAACAATGCCACATGACAAGTACGATCGGCCTTCCCCTTGTAAAGACGTGGAAGTTGAATCTCAGAGAGGGTGAGCAGCCTGCCAAAGGCAACTAAGTGCGCAAGCTGCAGAGCCAGGATCTGAACCAAGAGAGCTTGGCTGCAGCCTAGAGGCACAGCTTCTCCCACTGTGCCCAGCATGTGCAGCTTGCATGCTGTCCTCGGAGCGAGATGACAGTTTAAGTGAAGTGAGTGTAAGGGAAGGTATTTTTCCCTCTGAGAGCTGCCAATTCAAGAGGGGAGGGAAAGAGAACAGAGATCTGGTTAGAGATCAAAATGGCAGCTAGAAAGTTCTAGAGATGAAGTTTTGAAAAGTTGAGAAGGAGGACCCAGCATGATTGTTTTCTTGGCTAATCCTCCACCTCTAAGTGCCATTCATATCTATGTCCACAGTAGCTGGTCCTGGTTCAAGGTTGAGCCAGGTTGAAGCCAGGAGTTGGGAACTCAATCCAGGTCTCCCACTTGGATGTCATGAACCCAATTACTGGAACCATCCTTGCTGCCTTTCAGGGTCTGCACCAACAGGAGGCTGGAGTTGGAGGTGGGTGTCAAGCCCAGGTACTCCGATATGAGATGAAGGGATCTTAACTCCTAGGTTACATGTCATCCACACTCCGACATTTTAATAAAATGATTTCTTTCTCAGGCCAGAACTACTTCTCAATATCACTAATGAGAGACACAGAGTCCCTGGGGGCAAGACACATGGTTTGCCAAAAGGTCACATACAAGTTGGTGGCAGAGAGCAGAAAGGGAGCCAGGACTGCTGGCACCCAGCCTGTTTTTTCTTTCTTTCTTTCTTTCTTTCTTTCTTTCTTTTTTTTGTTTTTTTTTAACAGAAAACAAGCCTAAAAATAGCATCTGTCTTTGCTGCACGTTGAAGAGAACCAAAACACTTTGCTTTAAAAAATTATTTTTGTAACTAGCAGATGGCAGCGGCCACAGAAAGAGAAGTAAGGCAGAGATTTCACTTGCCTGCTTTCTGCTTGGAGGAACTCAACCTTTGGACCCACTGGTGGGAATCCCTTCCTTGGGGACAGCTCCAGGAATGCTCTGTGGTCCATTTCTATCACTCAGCATACACAGAGAAATCCTGAGATCCACGACTTCTGAACTGTGTGGAGGCCGGCTCTGACCCTACTAGCCCCTCCAGCCTTTCAACGTTATGGCTGGCATCTCACTGTCCTTTCATTTCTGAGCAAGCACTTAATGATGTCCATTCTCTGCCAGGCTCCAGTCCATGGCCAGAGATGCTGCTGTGAATAATCCACAGTGCCCGGTGTCAAGGACCCACCAGATGAGTAGCAGGGGAGATCAGTCATTTCCAAATGGCCATGTTTCCTAAAATGAGCTAAGAGAGGATGGGATGCAGCATATGTTTTTTTTTTTACCGTTATTGTTGTACATGTTGTGAAAAATAAAACTCAACATGTTAAGACCGTGATTTTGTGGCTATCACTGCCTCAGAGGGAGAGCAAACTGTGTCAGAGAAGGGCCCCAAACAGGGTGGGGAAAGGCACCATACAAGGTCATTGACTTCCAACGGCCTGCAAGATTTTCACCAAGGGTGTTTGTCTCCTCTACTAAAATTAAGATTCCTGTGAGTTCACCTCATTCTAACGTAAATGCAATTAATTTAAAAATTATAGAACTTCTCACCAAAGTCATAAATGGAAACTCATGGTCTTTCTCAAAAATAAACTCCTCTCTGGAATCTACCAGCTCTATGCTATATCCAGTCTGGCTTTGGTTCATCAGCCCTTTAAATGATTCATTAAAAAAAAAAAACCCGAACTTGTCCATATACCAC